AGTAACAAAACCTCGTCTGTGTGTGCTTTTATCCATTGGAACCCCTGTGCTTCTGGTATATGTATACTTCTTGACAAAAAGAGAATTACTCTTGAATATATTTGTTGCTGCTGCTAAACCCTAAAAGCTTTACAGCTGCCTTAATCCCATCTTGTATGTTTCTTACAGGATTCTTTTTCTAAGCACTAATCAGATACACCTCTAAAAGTCTTGCAAGATAGATTTAAATTGTCATCAAAAGCTTTTGTTGAGCTTGCACAGCTATGACTGATGATGGTAATGAGGCTGTTTGGGGAAAGAAAAAAACAAAACAACCAACCACCTTTGAACTGAGCCTATTTGAAGTAAGTAGATGACTTTGTGTCTTCATGGTTTGCTTCTGTTAGTGAGGCAAGCCAAAGATGTGTGCTTTCTGCACCCCGATACGTATATGCAGTCAATGACTCTGTCTTGCAAATACTTTTTCTCTGTGCTTCTTTCAGCCACTTTTTGTTAAAAGAGTGTGAAAGAAATCTGTGAAATGAACACTAAGGTTGTTTGACACCTAAACATAGGTGGCTGAGCTCTCACTTGTTGGTGGAGAGCTATTGACACAGTCAGTGGAACAGAGGAAGTGATTCATCTGAGCAGCCCTGAGATGTGTGCTTGAGGGTGGGCTGCATGCTTTCTGTGCTCTATGCACTCCAGATTTCTTTCTCCCACATGGATCCCACCCAGGATCTTTGGGGAAGAAATAACCATCTACATCTGCTTCGCATTTTGCAACCAGAGGATATAATGGCCAATCTACGTAGGCTGTTAAGCATGATGCCTTTGCCCGTTCAGCAGTTCCTGTCCATATGGAACCCCTTTCCAAAGGTCTTACCTGTGGCATTTGGGCGCATGGGTCCTTTTGTGCTCAGAGCTCCTTGTTGGCATGGCCTGCAAATCTGAGCTTTGGGTTCCTTTTGCAGATGGTAAGTGAGAAAACATGTGGATCATTATGACATCCTTGCTTCTGTGATTGGGTTTCAAAGGCACTATTGTACTCTGAATGAGTCTTAACGAATGGCAGGTTGCCTTTTGCCCAGCCCGTTTCAGGCAGAAAGTATACCTGCCAGTTCAAGAGTAATGACAGGTTCCTAGCAGCGTGCCTGTGTTCACTGCACCAAGCAGTTATTTTGCTGTCTCTTTTGAAGCTCTGGACTTCGACTTGAAACGGGCTGTGTGAACAGCCTGGCCGTGCAGCCAGGGGTCCGCTTTGCTCCATGGAAGAAGGGGCAGAATGAAGTTGCTGTACCCCTCTGAGAGGGATCTATCTAGTCATCCGTGGTGTTTGGCTCTAACGCAGGCAAGGAGCCCGAACTGCTGCACTCCTAAATCACTGTTCTTAAAAGCTAGACTTTGGGCAGCACAAACGTTAACATTAGTTCTCAACTGAATTGTAGCAAAGTACATATGTGAACTACTCCATAAAATGCAGTGGTTGCTCCAAGCCTCAGATTTCTTCTTTCAAGCTAACTTCAGCTATGGCTATCCCAGTAACCATGTGCAATTTGGTGCTTCCATGGCCTAGAAGCCAGATCCTGGACATGTCTCTGGTACTTCTGCAGACTCTAGGCTGGTGCATTGCCTTCCTTGTGTTACCACGTGTCTCAGAAATGCTTCCTCTGATCTATTGCTAATCCCCAGCTCTCTATTAGTTGTTATTGTGATAGGAGAGATGTATGATGATTCCATTCTTTTTTTTTTTAAGAGCTTCTCACTTCCAAGAATGAGTGGTCCCAGATAGGTTGTTTTGATTATTGGTGCTACTACTGCATGTGTATATTTGTTTGTTTGCTTATTTTGTTTTCTTTTGGCAGCCACACTGAAAATCTTAAAAAAACAAATCAATCTCTAAACAACAACTTTATTATTAACAGCTTGGTGCCCTCATCAGGTGCTGGTGACCCGAGAGTCACAGAAAGAACAATGGCATGGATGGCATTCGTTGTCTCCTCCCGTAGAATAGCTGGAAGACCACTTGTGTAGTCCAAGGGGGATGTGTGTTCAGCCTTCTGCATGTGGGAGAACTTCAGCCCACATCACAGGAGAGTGCGTCAGTCCCTGTGGGGATCAGGTAGCATCCTAGACTCCTACTGACAGTCTTCTGCTCCTTGTAATAACCTGGCATTCGATACAGCGGGAAGTGCAAGCTATGTGTATAGTGCTTCAGGAAGGTACACAGAGGGTATTTCTTATCTTAAGATTTGAGACTGTTGCAGCAAGGAGACTTTGGAATAGGATTTGAAATAGGATTTGAAGTTGGACCTCTGGTGTCTTGGGGTAACATTAGTGTTGAGCTATAGAGATATCCCAAATGGATCTTTGCCAAACTGTTCTACCTCATCAAGATAGAAGACAGGTGATAAGCCCATTGTCTAGAGATACCTGGGTCCTTCAGTGTCTGCTTGCTTCTGACTGAAAACAAAACAAACAAAAAAAACCCGAAAACCAAACCCTCTCCCCTGCAAACTCACGCAAAAACAACCAACCAACCAAAAAAAACCCACAAACCCAAACCACAAAACCCCCAAAAAAACCCACCCCACCAACAAAAAGGTGTATTGCATCAAGAGAAGATTTCAAGAGCTTCTGTTGCTTGACCCAACCTTGTATCAAGACAACTGCCATTTTGGCCAAATACGATCAGATAGAGGAACGTCTCGTATATGATTCTTCCGTACCCTTGGTGAGCTCTTAATCCAGGAAGCTAAAAACCTATTCCTAGTAGTGTTTTGGGAATTTAGACACAATTCTTTTCCAAACTTCGCTGAATTTAAACTGACCTTATGATTAGTTTTGCTCACTTCAGAAGTGGATTTGCTACATGCTAATTGATTTCCTCAACTCCAAAAGCAATGTGACTTTCAGCAGATGTGTTCCCTCAACACTATTGTTCTTTTTCATCTCTATTAATGTTGTGACCTTGAACTTCCAGGAAGGCAGGGGTTGCACGGTGATGATAAACCTTGCTGACCACTAGAGACTCCAGTGAGAGAGAGAGGACATAAGGGAGAAGGGATCTGATTTGGGCTTGTATCCAATTATTACAATACATTTTTAGACTATTTTGTACTAAGGAAGTAAACACTTAATGCTGGGTGAAGGTTACAGATAGACCCACCCATTCTTGGAAGTATGCACAGCTTGTCCTGAGTGACATCAGTGATGGATCTGTCTTGTCTGTATATGCAATTCAGTGATTTATTACAGTATAATTCTGTGCCAAAGCTTATTCAAAAAAGTCTTAGTTTGTTTCAGGAAACTATTGTTTTATACCGAGCTTTTTCTCTTTGCTGAATTTGTCCAGACCCAGTAAACCCATTTAAAGAAATATTTGCAGTATGAGGTACAGATCTAGTATTTAAGCTTTTCAGCTATTTGCCTTGATTGCTTTTCTTTGCTGTATAAGCCTTTGGAAAGATTTTTGCAAATCTGTCCAAATATAAGCAAATATTTTTGTGCATATTAAATGTGTATTTTAGCTACAACAACAGTACTATGAGTGTTAACACTTCAAAAGTGATCTAAAAAAGTTATTTTTATTTTCTGTTAGTTGTATTTCTAAGACTTGTTCAATTAGAAAAAAAAATCAGTAAAAATGGAAGTTAGTTTTGATGCTTGTGATTTTTTTCATTCTTTAAATTAGGTTTCACCCTGAATATAGAATGCCATCCATGTGCAAATGCTAAAATGAGATCTCATCAATAAAGTGGATTTTCTGTGAAGGACTTATGACTGATGATATTAAATCATACGCAGTTTTTATATATTTATAAAAACTACTTGAACCTCTTTTTAATAATTCAGCATATGGCTCAATATAAATTATTTTTAAAAAACTGGTAAAGTTCAGAGTTATTAGGCCACAGCACTAGTTTAGTCCTTGGAATAGAGTCCAAGTCTTAAAAGTTGCCATTAACCAATATTCTCCAGAGGAAATTGTCAACTCCAGAACTCTTCAGTTTGCATTTTTCAAGTGTCCGTTTTCCTTAAAGGTTGGTGAATGTGAAATTTTATGTTACCTCGTTTGCACCCTAAGCAGTGCAGTAGCAAAAGAAAAAGAGAAAAAAAAGAAAAAAAGGTACTGTAATTCTCAGGAATATAAGAATATAACATAGGAGTAGAAATGATCTTGTCTCTGAAATGGTCCGATACATATCCAATTTTATGGCTGTATTACCCTCTCTGTGCTTGTGACCCATCATGATAGACGCAGGGTGAGAATAGTTCTCGTGATAAATCTGTGCATGATGCATGTCATTAACAGCAGGACACCACATCTGGTTCCTGAGCCTGTGTTTTAAGGGGAATACACGAATACTGGAGAGAACTTCCAGGAGGGCCACCAAAACTGTGCAAGGATGAGAAAACAAGCCTTATGACAATGCTTAATGATATTTTTATGTTTTTAATCAAGGAAAAGTCTGAATGGTGATTACTGAACACGTATGTGCACATAGGTCTTGCTGCAAGATCTTCAGTATTGTAGACAATAAGCAATGCTGTTGTTGGAAAACAAACTTTTAACATAGGATGTCAGACATTTTGAAGCAAAGAGTAGATAAAACATTTCACAAATGCATCTTTAAAAGATACTTTAATACAGCTTCTACCCTGTCTCTGCAATGGTCTTGCCTGAGCAATTGTATTAGTTCCCTCTGGTCTTAAAGCTCTGAAAACCGATTATGGCTAGAGCATTTGTTAAGCAGTCTCTGTAGATATGATGTTGTGGCAGCTTTAATGAAACGTACCTTCTCTGTCATAGAGGCTAGCACGAGCTGCTAATAGGGATGAAGCTGTTCTGGTTAGGTCATTTGTGTCTTATGCCTCCCCTGTGGCTTTGACTTTATAAGAGGAAATTTCTATTTTGCTACTTTATATTGTGTACTTGTTATAATTACGTGTGGAAAACTGAAAGCTGGATTTAAAAAAGTAAAATTCAGATTCCATTTATCTCTTTTCTGTCTCCTCAGGTGGAAAGACATGACATGAATACCCTGAGTTTACCACTTAACATTCGCCGTGGAGGCTCTGACACCAACCTGAACTTTGATGTACCAGATGGGGTCCTAGAGTTTCACAAAGTCAAACTCAGTGCAGATAGCTTGAAACAGAAGATCCTCAAGGTTACAGAACAGATCAAAGTTGAACAAACAGCTCGAGATGGAAATGTGGCTGAGTATTTGAAACTGGTAAACAGTGCAGACAAGCAACAGGCTGGGCGCATTAAACAAGTCTTTGAGAAAAAGAACCAGAAGTCTGCCCACTCCATTGCCCAGCTGCAGAAGAAATTGGAACAGTATCACAGAAAGCTCAAGGATATTGAACAAAATGGATCTTCCAAAAGCACTAAGGATACTTCTAAAGATAACTTGAAAGATATTCAGCATGGAAAACCACGTGGAACAGAGAGCAGCAAGTCGAGTGTGCCGGGTGTATCCTTGACACCACCTGTCTTTGTCTTCAGCAAGTCTAGAGAGTTTGCAAACCTGATCAGAAACAAATTTGGCAGTGCGGACAACATTGCTCATCTGAAAAATACCTTGGATGAATTTCGGCCAGAAACGAGTTCTAGAACATATGGGGGCAGTGCCACCATTGTTGCCAAACCAAAGTATGTTAGTGATGATGAATGCTCAAGCGGGACCTCTGGCTCAGCAGATAGTAATGGGAATACTTCCTTTGGTCCTGCTGTGGCAAGTACCCTGGACAGTCAAGGAAAGCTTTCCATGATTTTGGAGGAACTAAGGGAGATTAAGGAGACACAGTCCCAATTAGCTGATGATATTGAGAATTTGAAAGCACAATTTAAAAGAGACTATGGCTTTATTTCTCAGATGTTACAAGAGGAAAGATATAGGTATATTTTCTTTTAACTGTTCTTTTGAAATGGCTTTTGAATGGATATAGAAGCTATTTGGAAAGTGTAAATGTGGGTGTGTGCTTGTGTGTGATATTTCAGAAGCAAGAGGGAAAAATAATTCAAATCAGTATCTGGTACCAAAATGTTCCACTCCTTCCAATAACTGAAAATACCTGTAGAACATTAATATTTCCTATCAAATGATGTGGTACTTCTTTGCCTTTTGTAGAAGGCTTGTCAGAAAATTCCCTCATCTGACATCTTACTGGCATATTGTATTATGTGACTACTGCATATAGGAGATGCCAATTGTTTTGTAACTGGTAGAAGAATGATGATCTATTGCAACTTGGAAACGCTCATCAGTCTACAGTGTAGCAGAGCTGACTTACAGCTGACAAATATACCCTTTAGTTCTGTGTACCTTCTCCAAATGCTCTTCAGACACATTGCTGTCGTGTGGATGCAATGTCACTTAGTACCCTGGTGTAGCACATGGCTGTGAAATGTCATATTAAGTGCTGTAGCACAACTTCCTCTTGCATTTGTTACTTGGCAATTAATTCCTTTATCATCAACTGTGGGAAGTGAGGTATGCTCTACAGAGGGCTTGCACCTGCTGTACCTTTATCCCATTTGTCATATCGCTTGTTAAAGTAAGTGTTAATTCTTGAAGTCTTTACTACACTAATGGGCAAAAACTCCGTATGACTTGCAATATTTAATGTTTCTCTTGTTTACCCTTCTTGAAATACAAGGGAAGGTGGTAACATGGGGGAGGAAAGAACAGAGAAAATGACCTACTGCATTCAGGACTTGGGTTTCAGGAGAAGGCTGAGCGGCCTTTTCTGACAGCTCACTGCCATTAAGATCTCAAGCCTCCTGCCACCATTTCCACAGCTAGACAATTCTACCTCCATCATTTTTGTGCTGACTGCAGTGTTTGCCTGTTTGTGTGTTAAACTAAGTTATAAATGCGCCAAAAAAAAATTTCATTTTCTGATGGTTCAGTTGAAATGGTTTACCATGCAGAGACATGCCAGAACAGGCTGTACATGAATGGCAGGACCTTGCAGTTGTGTTTGAGAGGGGATCCAGGGAACATATTTTTCCTTTCGCTACTGGCGAGCTGTTAAGTGGCTCAAGCTTACTTATGAAACTATATCTTCTTGTCTAAATGAAAAGTGAGAAATGGAAAAATGTGAGTTGGATACCCTTAGCCACTGTTTATAGTTCAAATAATTTGCCAATGATGTACAAATATTTGCTTTTTAACACCCACTTCCAGCAAAAAAAAGGCTTTCAGTTTGCTGAATAAATGCTTGTGGAGAGTTTCCAAAGTTTTTACTGATTTCTCTGTGCTCTGTAATGCCAGTCAGATGAATCCGTAGCACACTGAGAAGTTGCCTTTTAAAATGCGTAATTATTTTCATGATTTAGCATTACTTGAATAGAACGCACTAAATTTAGACCTTTTTTCCTGATAAGATACGAAAGATTGGAAGACCAGTTAAATGACCTCACTGATCTTCATCAACATGAGACAGCAAACTTGAAACAAGAGTTAGCCAGCATAGAGGAGAAAGTGGCGTATCAGGCATATGAGCGATCACGAGATGTTCAGGTACTTTTTGTTTCTTTCTTTCTTTCCTAATCATAACCTTCTAACATTTTGTAGAAATCTGGTACTGTAAAACACTTGCATCTTTCTACATCTTGGTATCTAAGGGATCTGGGGAAAGATTTAAGCCCATGTTTTGTCTGTTTTAAGATGAAAACCCAGCACATTTAAATAGATGACAAACTCTGTTTGTTTCAATGGGTTCAGAATTTTATCTGCCAGAATTGATGATACAGCGTGGACAGACTTGTGGATGAAGAATAGCCTGTTTTAATTTCATTCACCAGAGGAGAAAGGAATTGAGTCTCCTTGTATTGTGTAAAATGCCACTTTTGACAATGTCCTAACACAAACCTCTCGCTCAGACTTTTGACAACATAGTAGTCGAAATCACTGGCAAGGTTTATTATAAATTGAGTTTAAGGTGAAAAGTAAGAGAGCCAATTAAATATATTTGTAGATTTGCCAATTATAATTTAAGAGTTTTAATCCATGGTCAGAACGGCCCTTATACTCAAAGCTGTAGGGTGTGTTCACCTCAGTGATCAGTTGGTCATGTCTGGCTTCGATCAAAAGTCAGTAATAATTTCTACAAGTTTGTCCTGACAGCATGTAGTTACATACTTGAATATTTATATACAATATAAGCATTTATAAAATGCATAATACTTCTACCTGTAGTCTGAGCAAGTGTTGGAAAATGGTGAAAACATTGGTTTTGCCTTACCGTGGATTTAAATTCACTGACAACTGAGGAATGCTCAGACTGTCTTCATATTGGCTCAGATGGTGAAAAAAAAACCCCAACCCTGTCCTGTACACACCTGTGCTCATGTTTCTAAGTGTAGAGAGGTCAGGCAGCAGGACGATCATCCTGTTTCCTGATTGTCATAAGAGTCAGGAACCCCTGGGAACAGAATGGGAAAGAGATGGTACTGAATCTAAGCATGTCATAGGTTCCTTTGTAGGTTTAAAGAGAGGTCTCTCATGCAGGACGCCTTTCTGTGAAGGCATCTTGAGGATGTAAAAACTGAATGAGACCCAAGTTCTCCAGCAGAAGGACTGTGAAATGTTCACTAACTCATTAGCAGAACCCTGGAGAAGTGTCAAACTTTTAAAATTAATTGAAGTGCCATGTTGTTACAACCTTGTTTGTTTTCTCTCTGTACGGTTGGTCCTATCTAAACCTATCTCTTTGGGGGTTTGGCAAATAAAGCTAAAAAAGAGTAAAAGCATTTAAGTTGTGGATATTTTAAGTAACAACCTAACTTAGGGACGCTCTGTCCCTAAGGAATGGGCAGATAGTTTTTAAAACACTTGTTCAGCCTCTCAATGCAAATCAGACTTTTACAACTGGACTTTCTCTAAAGCAGCACGAGATGATTTGAGAATAACTTAGAGTGGAAGAAGAACCAGGAAAGTTCTTTAGTGTGTAGTGGAGAGCATGTGTGAGCCCCAAGGGACTTTATGCCACCCATTAGGAGCTATCTTCTATGTTATTATTAATTCCTAGAACAGGGGAAAGGAAGCAGCCTTTTGCAAGGTCCCGTGCCATGCGCTTTGTGCTGACTTCGGTGCCTGGTTGATGACGTGGTAAGCCAGTTAAACTTGCCAAAACAACAGAGAACTGGCCCAGCCAAAGGAAGCTAATAACTCGGTGTGCAGTGGTTTTGTTTCTTTTTACAGGAGGATTGGGTCGAATCAGCGTACTGTGTCATTAGGTGAATGCCCCTCCCAGTGCAAGGAAGATGTTTGACGTTTCAGAGTGGGGAAGGAAGTAGGGATGCTGGAGCATAATTTTTCCCTTTCACACAGTGGTAAAATGCTATGTCAAGTTGATCAATCTCATTAAATGATAGCCTCACACCATGTTACATAGTGGTGCCCAAGTCTCAACTCCAGCAAAAAGTGGCATTTTGGCAAGTAAGTGAAGCAGTAAGAAATTTTTCCATGTTTCACTTTGAGAGGGCTTAAGTGTGGGGTTAGTGACTTAGGAACTGTTTTACTCAAAGATCATTTTTAGTGCACCCTCAAGAAGAGCAACATCGGCTTTCTTTAGAACAAAAAGTGAAGCGGAATATATCATGTGAGAGAAAGAATCCCATAAAAGCATCGCCTGCTGTCTCTGCTGTGCACTGCCTGCTTGGGGTATGGATTACTGAGCCTTTACCCTAACAGAAGGAGAAGGCAATCTCTTACTGAGGACTCAATTCCAGTCCTGTATGATGGGTGGCTTTGAGAGAAAAAGTGATGCAGACCAGAGAGGTGGTGTAAACTAAATGGTACACGTTGCAAAGTAGATTTAATTGGTATCACAGCAAGCCTGTGCTGCCCTAATGTTTTCTGTAGCGTATACAAAGAATGATGCTGTTTTAATGCAGTGAAAGCTGCTATGGCAACAGCTTTCCCAGTACTTTATCTCATCAGTATATGCAGGAAACATTGTCTGTTGTGAACATTAGAGTTTATGATACTTTTTCTCAAACATGAAAAACGTAAAAACAACATTTTGGACAGTGTTGTCAGACTTGATTGTGCCTGAGCAGGCACTGATGCACAAGTGCAGATATATATGTACGTTTATTTTTAAAAGAGTTGGTTCATTTAAGTTTTAGAAGTCTATAATAAATTACTTTTCTAATCTAGCTGATGGATGGCTGCGCAGCTAAAACAGGAAAAGTCGTGTATAGAAATACAGCTGTTCTTATTCTTGTTTTCTGTCTCCAGGAAGCCTTGGAATCATGCCAGACCCGGGTTTCGAAGCTGGAACTTCATCAGCAGGAGCAGCAAGCACAGCAGTCCGAAACGGTTAATGCCAAAGTGCTCCTGGGGAAATGTATAAATGTTATCCTGGCCTTCATGACTGTCATCTTAGTGTGCGTTTCTACTATTGCAAAGTTCATTGCTCCTATGATGAAGAGCCGTTTTCATATCATTTGCACATTTTTTGCAGTGACACTGCTGGCAATATTTTGTAAAAACTGGGATCATATCATTTGTGCCATAGAAAGGATGATTATACCAAGATGAAGCTGCTGATCTGGCTGCTTTCTTTTTCTTTTTCTTTTTTTTTTTTTGTTCTCCTTCCCCTGCCAGTTTAAGTGCTGTACGTATACAAATTATTTTTGGTTAGTTTAAATGTGCAAACTGGATGGAGAAGGCTACAGTGACTCTTGGACTTTGAGGTGTAAATACATAGATGCATACTTGTTGGCAGTCACTTGCCTGTTCAGTCAGATGGTGTCTAACTGGCTGTGTCTTTGATGAACTGCTCGCTTATGTTAGTCTTCTGCCTTAATCCAATGGGTTTTCCACTTTACAAACCCACACCTACAAAAGACGATATGATGCTCTGGGAGGGATCCAGGCAACTGCAAATGTCAGGTGTGCTTTTTACTAGACTGGAGTACAAAGATTGTGATCAGGAGTGTATCAGCCCTGTTAGACAAATAAGTTAATTATCTCTCTGAATCCAATTAGAATGATAAGCTGAATTATACAATCATATGTATTAATAGTTCTTGATTCCAAATTAACATGTGTTTGTATTATGGGGTTATTTGGGACCAGCAAAACTCGATGCTTCTGCTAGTAACCTTTTGCACAGAGAGTTTATTGTTTATAAATTATACCAGTGATGACTTTTGACCACAGCCCACAGTTGTTCTGTCCTGGCACTGTTCATCGTCACACTCAGGAAACACATAAATCATAAATGTGGCATAGGGCTTCCAAAGATGAGCTGAACTGAACGACAAGATCTCCAGGCCACTTCCTAAAGGCACAAAGCAGCAGGTAACTGGTGGGTATGTTGACACACAGACCAAAGCACTCACTTGCTTCGGGCCCTGCAGTCTGCAAGGGGAAAGGAGTACACAGAAGGGCAACATTAGGTTAGCCTTTGTTAGCACTGAATTGTTGGAGTGCTCCAACTGAATGCAAGGCAGGTAGGTGGTGGCACTCAGGGTACAGTGGATTTCTCTTTCTTGTGTCAGATTAAGGAATGTGAAAGAAGCATGAGGGAACAGGTCCTTAGCGGGGAGCAGGAAGTTAAACTTCTGTAAATACACACACACTGTGCAGGCTCTCTTGACAAACATTCCTGGAGATAATGTATTAGCATACAGTACCACTACTAGGAGACAGGGTTGGTTTTGTTTTCTTACTGGAATTTATTTTCCTTGATTTAAGAACTGCAAAAAAAAACTTCCCTGAAATCTGCTTGGCTTTCAGCCATGATGTAAAAAAGATCTTCAATAAAAAAAGAAACAAAACAAACCACCACAACCAGAATTCTTCTCCACTCTCCATTAAAGTAAAAAAAAGACAGTGTCTCCAGTTATTTGATATTCAGTGTTGCTTACTTAGAAAATAATTATCATGACAGATTTTCTTTTCAGTTGCAGTATTTATTATGCTGGTTTTACGGGGTGGGTAAGGGAAGGGGATTACTTGATGTTTGTATTTATTTTCAATCAAGTGCAATAGTTGGTGTAGAAATTGAGAAAACCTTATTCTGAGGACGGAGTTGGGGTGGGGAGGCAGGGGAAGAACTTTGACATTTTACTGTGGTTGAATTAACAGTGAATACGGTTACTTTTTGTGGCTTCAGGGACTGAAGGAACGACAGAATTAACTGCATAAATAACAGTATGACTCAGCATTTAGAAAATTCAATTAAAACACTTTAAAAATCATAAAAGAATTATTTATATGTGCTACGTCTTTGTACAGAGGAATCAGGAAGGGTTGTGCTGGCTCACAGGCACCAGAAATGGACCAGATCAGGCACACCCATGTTATTCCAACCCAGCCCTGCCTAATCTTCAGAGGAAGGTGGAGTGGAAAGCGAAAGTCCTCCTGAGAGGAATATGCCTTTATAAAGCCCAATTGGTCAAGAACAACTATCATATAGATACAGTCATCTTTTCCTTCATGTTTTTTTCTTTTTTTCTCTTTGCCTTTACCCCTGTATTCCTGGCATCCCCTGAAGAAGGAAAGAGGGATTGTGTTATGTATAGAATTTCTCTGTCTCAATTGTTTCATGTGCTCCTGCTGCTGTTCAGTTCAGGGAGACCTTTCTTCTCGTCTCTTGACCCGTTTCGGCACTGTACGCGTGCATTGCAACAGGCCTTCACCCCCGCCTTCCAAGTACCTGTGCTTAGCCTCCTTTTACAGCCAGTGAGAAGATTGCTTCCACCAATGCAGATCATAAACTTATCTTCACAGGGAAGTCCCTTCCACAACATTAAAAAGATTCAAAGGAATAAAGAAGTAGCTTTTTCCTGGCCTTTACATCACAAGGAAAGGTTTCCCTTGGTTCATTTTTGTGCCCTTCTGATGTGTCCTGAGATCTCCTTGGTCTTTTCCACTGTTTTAATATAATTTGTCCCTATCTTCATTTTTGAAAAGGTGTCTTTTTATAGTCTGTGCTTTCTGTTTATTTAGCCAATGAGTGTGCTTCTGTTAACAGTCCCTTCCTTTCTGAAGTCTTTTCCTAAACTCCACCGCCCATTTTACTAATCAGCTCTATGACTTTTCTGTTCTCCTCATTTCTGTAGGCCACAACATTATACATCCATTACAAAAAAAGCCAAAACAAATGAGTCCTGGTACTGATCCTCAGAAAGTTGTGGCTCTTCCTGGTGTTTTCTTGCCATCTTTATTATAATCTCTATTATTCTATTCAGTTTGCACAGCCACCTTCTGGTTTGGCCACTTGAGAAAACAGTTTGTCTAGCATTTTGTTAAATGGGTTCGGAAGGGTGTATGTGCAAGGAAGAAATACCACGTGTTAATAATTTTTAGGTAAGAAAAACACCCTTGCCTGTTGCATGGTTATATGTTTAAAGAGATAATCCTCCCAGTTCTAGTGTATGTAGTTAAAAATGGAATGTCAAGTAGTCTCAAGGTCTGGCAGGAAAAAAGGTTGGTCATTTTTCTTATAACAAAGGACGTTGGTGTGGTACAACCTGGGGACGTGAAGGCTTCTGCTCCAAGGACATCATCCTATTACAAGCCTAGAAGATGGCCTCCGTGCAAAATGAGGGTAGAACATAAAATCAATGGGCCTATGAAAGATTGCTCACTGTCTTGATAAAATCTGACTAGGTCCAAATTGGAAACAGAAGGGTCTTGCATTTCCATATTGTCTTTATATCTGGCAGAGGACGCAGAAAAAGCTATAAAGGCTGCATAACGTTGCTCATGCAAATTAAAGCAACCCTAATTGGTAAATGGGCACAGCTCTTCTCTAGGTTATTTTCACTGCTGGATTTAAATCACCGGAGGATGTGACATGCATAAAGACATTTAAAAAGGATGCGAAGGGCAAAAACGTGCTTTTGGGTGAAACTGCTGTAGTTTTGCAGAGTAAGGCTGCAGTGCCAGGAGCTCTGCCACGTGGAAGGCCACCCAAAGGGGAGGGGGGCCTCCCCTCCTGCCTTTACCCACCACTTTCTTACCTTGTGCTGGCACTGGTGTGCATTGCAGAGCACACCAAAGAGCTGTGTTAGCTCCTAGGCTGGAAGAAAAACCTAGAGGAAGAGGTGAATAATTCTTCACATCTAGAGACGCAAGGGGCTGATGGAAAGGTCTCACGAGTGCAAAGCGGGTACAAGAAGGGAGATGAACCTTTTTCTTTCTTGCTGCAGTGAATCGTTAGCTGCCCCTAAAACCATGTTCTAGGCAGACTCCCTGCAGAATGATAGGGCAGCTTCAGCATAAGAAGGTTCTTCCTAGCTTTTGCCTGGAGGGAACTGATACAAACAGCACCAGGATGTGGTAGTACAGGCTCACCAGCTGTGTCCCTACCTGAGATCAAGAGCAGGCTGGTGGCTGGGCTAGCCAGGGCTGACGCCTGTGCCAGACTTCGGTATTGGCATCGCTGCTGCTGCTTAGGCTGGGATTATAGGAGCGTACGTGTCTGGGATGCCGTCAGAGCTCTGCTCCTGTGGAAGTATTCCTAGGCCATCCCAAACAGTTGCAAGACCTCTCTTAATGAGAACTTTGTTCAGCTTCTCAATCAATTAACCATGTTGTGTTGGGATACTGTTTGCATTTATGTTCTCATACAGCACATGAGACATTCTTAGTGTTCTCCTTACGCTTACTCATCATGAGCTTCTAAAACACTCCCACTCAACAGAAGTTGCCAGACAGTCTCTGTTCTGCTTGGTGCTGCCTGGTAGTCAATTTTTTCACTTCACTTTGACAGTAGTTCTCCAACTGAAAAGCCCTTCAGTTAGTTGTTAGTACCTGTTCTGTACGGCTTTAGGCAGCTTTTTTGGTCAGAGTTTTCTGGAGATTTAGTTTCTCAGGAAGGTTAGCACAATTTTCTCCATCTCTCCCATTTCAGCATTTGGGTCTAAATTAGGTTTCCTCTGAAACTTGTGTGATGGATTCCTTCACTAGCTTCAGCTGTAACTCCATTATTGTTGAACATCCAATTAGTCATTGACAAGGCTGAATGAGACCCAGTTTAAATTTCTTCTCCTTTCTGCTTTCTGTTATATGTGTTTGAGCAACTTCTTATTTTACTGCGCTCTGCTATATCTACTTGTTCTGAATTCTTGGAGAAGCACTATCAAATCTGACTGGCAAGTAGAAATTCAATAGGTGGAGGCAATTTGCTGGAGGGAAGATACATGATCCACTGGCTAGACTTTGAAGCTAGATAAATCCAGTGTAAGCATAAGCTTCGGTTTCATAATCATAAGAGTTACAGACTAATTAGTAGCTACTGAATAACATAAACAAGGACTCCAGTATTTGAAGTTGAATGCTGCTGTTCAAAGAGGAATCAGTTCAGGCTTATGTTTGATACAAAATCAGCTGCATAAGCACAGGCAGTACTTTCTGGAGTTAAAATCAATGAACAAGAAATAATTTGGAAAAAAACCCAACCCACCCACAGAAGCTTGTGGTTCATTTAGGTAGTATGGAAATCAGTTTTGGAAACCAAGCCCCTTTCCACTATGATATAGACATTTTACTTCTGTATTCAAAGGTACAACAGAAGGGAAACACAGATTAATGTAATTAAACACTTTAA